AAATGAATGATACAATAATCAATTCTGCCTGCCAGAGTTCGGCAGTTAAATAAGGGTATAATGGAATAATTTTTGCTTAAAATGAGTTTGTTACATTTATTTTCTATGGTGTTATGAAATGCTTGAAAGGATACTGTAATTTAACCAGGTTGTAGCAACTGTTCCACTAAACCACTCCATCTGCCACTCAAATAAAGTAGGTTTTAGTATTTATAATAGGAATATTCCATTTTGCTGGAAACAATAAAAACAGAATATAAGGAAAAGTTAAAAATTAGGGATAAAATAAATTCTAAAATGTGTTAAGGGTTGAAAGCCTGGAGAAAGAGATAGTGCTTTACAGAGTTCCTAAACCCTGAGAGAGTGGGGTCCAAATGCTACTCTTAAGGGAGGAGTGCGCTCTTTAGCCTGGGAGTAGGACAGGAGGAGACTGTGTATGCGAGGATGATGCGTCTTTCATAGTTGGTCATCTTCAGAGGGGCCTTTCCTGTTGATCTCTTTCCTGACAGATTTGTAATAAGAGAGGCTGCCCTTAAGATAATCAGTCTTAAGCAGTACGGGGGCATAGGCTTTAAAGGTTGATACCATCACCTTAAATTGTGCCTAAGAAACCACTCGCATCGAATATGCATCCATCAGAGCAGACATGACATGATCCCTGCATCTTGTACTGATTAGCAGCATGGCTGCCACATTTTCCACTACTACAACTTCCAGACATTTTTCAAGGGTAGCCACAGACAGAGCGTGTTTCATTAGTCAAGATGGGATGTAACTATGAAGTGGATAACCTCTGCCAAATCTGACTAGCTCAGGAAGGGGTGTAGCTGGCACACTAGATGTAATTGTGTAAAAGAGCCCCTTGCCACAATCACCAGCTGGGCAGCACTTCTAGACAGTAAACCTGCTCTTTCAAAGAAACATAATCCTGTCCCAAGCAGGATAAACCTCAATCCCTGAATCCTATTTACCAACAGAATCTCCATTTTGTCTAGATTTAATTTCAGATTGTTCTCTCTCATCCATTATCAAATTAGATAATGCTCAGGGAATTGGAAGGTAAGGAAAAATAAAACTGGATGTTATCAGTATATTGATAGCACCCCACTTCTAAACTCAAGATGATCCCACTCCTCAGTGGGTTCATATATATGTGGAGGAGCATAAGGACAAGATGGAACCCTGTGGGACACAGCAGATCTATCACCCATGTGTTGAACAACAGTGCCCTAGCACTGCCTTTTCAGCACATCCTAACAGAAAACACTAGAACTACTATAGAACAGTGCCATGAGGGCCAATTCTGTGAGTTATCAAGAAGGATATCATGGCCAATGATATCAAACGCTGCAAAGAGATCCAGGAGAAGTAGTGGTGCTGCACTCCTCCTACCCAATTTTAAGTCCAGGTAATCTACACGGGCCACCAAAACAGCTTCTTCTGTACCATATCCCATTCAAAAGCCTGATCCAACCAGATTAGCAAAATCACTGAGATCTCCAATAGGCTGTCAAAGTGGCTGCTAACAGAGATCAAAAGCTTGGGTTTCATCTGCATTTTTACAACTTTCAGTCAGTTTTGACACAGGGAGGCAAGACCAAGCCAGAGGTTCCTCCTGTGTGAGGTGCCTTAAGGCTCCACACTCTCACCCTTCCTGTTTAACATCTATATGAGGGTGCTGGGTCATCTGTCGGTTGGGGTCTGGTATCATCAGTATGCTGATGATTCCCAGGTATACATCTTGGCCCTGGGCCAATAAGGTGATGCTGCCAAGGCCTTGTCCTAGTGTCTGGAAGCTTTGTGAATCTGGATAAGGAGGAATAGGCTTAGGCTCAATCCTGACAAGACTCAGTGGCTGTCCATGTTTGGACCACCTGTCTAGAGTGGTTTCCTTCCTTAGCCTGAGTGGGTCACCCTTCCCTCTTCACCCTGGTGCACAATTTGGGGGATTTCTTGAATTCATGGCTCCTGCTCAAGCAGCAAGTGGCAGCTGTGGCCAGGGGAACCTTTGCACAAGTTTATCTTGTGGGCTAGATACACCCATACCTGGCACAGGAAGTCCTTAAGAATATCCCTCATCTTTGGTCACCTCATATTTCGATTATGGCTATGCTCTCTACAGGGGGCTGCCCTTGAAAACCACTTGAAAGCTGCAGCTGATCCAAAAGGTAGCTGCATGAGCAGTTATGGGTGTGCCATGGTGTGCCCATCTAACGTCTCTGCTTTGTGAGCTGTACTGACTACTAGTAGTCTTCTGTGTGTAATTCAAGATGCTGGTTATTACCTGTAAAGCCTTTCATGGCATAGGACCTAGTTATTTGAGGGAGCACTTACTTTCAGTAGTTTCTGCCTGTCCTATATGGTAGACTTGATACGGTCCCATTGATTAAGCAGTGTCATCTGGTGGGACCCAGGAAGTGGGCTTTCTTTGTCATGAAGCCTGTCCTCTAGAACAACATTCCCCCTGATATTCTTATGGCCCCCATCCTTATTTAAATGAGCCCTTAAAACCAGGCCACTCCCCCAGGACTTGGGTTAAAGTTACACAATTCTGGCAATGGAGCAAACTTTGCTACCAGCTGCAGGAAATCAGCAACCCTGACTGCTAGCATGTAGAGATAAAAATGTTATCCCATTGATCCTGACTGTGTGTTACATGAATGGATATAATGGGATGGGATGGGAAAACTGGGCATGTGTGTTTGTGCAAAAGTGTGCATTTGTGCTTATAGCCTCAATCCACCAGCTGACACACCTTAGATAGATGCTATGTGGATATCATCTCTCTCCATAAGATGAAATGGAAGAAAGGGGAATCCAAAAAAAGATAATAAGGGCGGGGGCAGGATATTAAAAGAAGATTCTGCCTTGAACTATTTTAGCAAGTACTAATCTAAATATCAGCCAATGCTAATCAGATAGCCTCTACCAGACCATGCTTCCTCTTATGATAGCAACCACAAGGATAGCAAGTGGCACAAAAAACCCTGTCTTATTTCCTGAAATGCAAACAAAGTAAATTCTCTAAAACATGTTGGAATCTTAGTATGTTATGATTACAGAAACATGTAAAGCAGAATTGCATGCCTTTTGATGTACCATAAGCCTTTCCATTGTTGCTAATAATCAGCATTATTGTTTACCATATCCAGTATCCAGCAGGAAAGTCTTCCTGACACACAAACATTCAGATGATTTAACTGTTCTGTTTATTAACTCTTGATATACTCTACTATTTTAATGGTCAAAGTGTCATACAAAATTCAACAAGTGTATGCCAGATGCAACAGGTATGTATTAGGAGCCAAGTAGATATTTCTATAAAGAAGGTGCTCCAAGGTCTATGGCTACCACAGAAAAACAACAAGCATAATTTCCTGTTCAGGATGCTGATCATAGAAATGGATGCTCTGCTGGGAATTTGGAAGGTATCTATCTTTACTTTTCCTAACATCATTGGTTAAATTGCTGGGCTGATGGGGGACAGAAGAATAAAGCTCCAGGGTGAGAGAGTTGTCTGTTCCAAGAGCATTCCTGAACTTTTTGTGAGTTCTCAAACTGGGTGTTTGGGAAAAGCATGAGCTTTTGGAACTATTTCCTAATGCCTGGAAATGCCTTTGGGGACTGAATATGGTGGTGCACCTCTGTTAAGAGAGAAGAGGACTTGGAATGCAAGTGTCCTCACTTGCCTTTTAGGTAATTCCTTGAAGAGGCATGAATAACCTGACCCAGAGCACTAAGATGTATTTGGATATAGGATCTCCCTGACCATGAAAAATAAACTATTTTCTTAGTAGGTTTACTCTAGCTGAATCAGAACAATCCCATGTTTCAATGAAACAGGGACCTCCCAGTCTGATTATTTACTTATGTTCAGAGAGCAAATGGAAAAAAGAAAAGAGAAGCAGTGTATATAATTGGTATAGGAGTCACAATAACCCCACAGGCCACTCCCAATGCTGCCTTAATGCAATCATGACAAGGAAATATTGACTTGGTCTTTCTCCTAATTAAATAGAGTAAGGAAAGAAATAATGCTAAATGCATTGGCTCCTAATGTAAGCTTGATCTTATTTTGTCTGGGTTCCCAGGTATATTGGACAGAAGGTAGGGTCAGAATGTAAGTTACCTTTGCAAATATTTTACTGAACTTAAGTCTCTGATCCTGCTTCTAATTTTGATGGGAACACAATTTCAATTAGCTGAAACATCAGTTGTATTTCTGAGAGCTTGCCCTGGACCAGTGTTTCTCAGCCTTGGCAATTTTAAGATGTGTGGACTTCAACTTGGCAAGGCTGGCTGGGGAATTCTGGGAGTTGAAGTCCACGCATCTTAAAGTTGCCAGAGTTGAGACACCCAGCCCTGGACATATGGGCAAGGCAAGTATTTAGGACAGTTTCTTCCCCACAACACAAGCAACCAAGATGATCATCGCATATGCTCTATGATTCATTGAGCTTATTTTGTCAGCTAGTGCTCTAATTACATTGCTAGGTTACAAGATGATAGTGTGCATAGGTTTAAAAAACAAGTCACTAAAATATGTTTAATGGAGAAGAGAGAATGGTTATTTTTATAAAATAATTTATGTTAAAAGGGGAGCAGAAGAAAATATGACGTATATCAAATGAAAGCTAAAAGAAGATTTTAATATACTTAAGCATACAATAATTCTAACACTTTCAGTGCTTTCTCTGATTTTTTTTATTCCTTCTCAGTATAATTTTAAAATTCCATATGTATCCTACTCTTCCATTAGGGAATTTCTTCCATTTACCTTCACAGAAGCAGGCCTGATTATAATAATGTCGCCTGCAAATTAGATTACTGAATTGAAGAGGCTATCTTTAAGAGTCTTTGGATAATGCAGTTGCTCCAGAAAGCAGCAATGGGGATGTTAATAAGCAATCTCCGTTGGATCACATTGTGCCTGTTCTGCTGGGAGCGCATCGGTTGCCAATTTGTTTCTAAGCACAGTTCAAAGCATTGATGATGATTACCTTTAAAGCCCTATAGCAATGGTTAGGAATGGAATCAGCTCTCGCATTTAAGAAGGGCACTTAACTGAAAAAGAGAGATACAGTAAATGGTGATCTGCAATCCCCAACATACCGAGAAATGTGAGTAGGTAAAAGAAAGAAGGAAAACCATACTCTCTCTTAAATATTTATGATTACCCTTTGTTAGTATATGCTAAGTTATATGTACACCTTATCAACTCACTCATACAAATTGTGGAGCAACATAGCTGAGTGTGACACTTTGCTCTATAATGCAGTAGAAGTACCTTGCAATTGTACTCATATACACTAGCACCAAGAGAATACTCAAAATTAGTGTGCTTAACTTTATATTAGCAAGAAAGTATAGTAAAATCAAACGTAAGCTTCCATTGCACCCCATAGTACACAATTTTCAAGACAGCCTAAATATTTGACAATTTCCCCTCATTGAAATTAATATGATTTTCTTCAAAACAAAAATCTTGACAGCCTTCCAACTTAGCCTCCAAGCACAAACAACAAAACAACAACCAAAAAATAGCGGTATGATTTGCTGACTAATAATTTTCTTCATGTTTTTAACTTAGCAAATGCATGAATATTTGTTTTGCAAGGATAGAAATTTATAAACAATAATAAATATATATGCAAGCAAATTAGTACTTACATCCCCTTTGGTTCATGACTAAATATAAGCATTCTTTTTTTTTTTAAAGGTGAATGTCTAGCCAGATATTTTTAAAATGACAAAAACATTTTTATTGAAATTAAAAAAATGCTGTATCATGATATAACATGATAATGCTCTGTTAATTCTGAAGCATGCGTAAACCCCCCTTTCTCAACATTACCAAATGATGAAAGAGAAAGAGATTTCTCAAATCATTTTTCCACATTCGCTATTAAATTTGCACGTTATAGCACTAACATCACCACACAAATATCAACTTGAAACCACTGAACCATATTTTATACTGGTCCTGCCACCAGTCACGGGGGTCAGAATATGTGACAGAGCCCATGGGACGGTTGGGTTGATAGTTGTGATGGTTTTTACCTTGCCTACTGATTGGTATTTATTGTGATAGTGTTATTTTATGTTTTTAAGTGCTGTTTGCTGCCTAGAATCACATGGTTGAAATGGATGGCCATATACTGTACACTGAAATAAACAGACAAACAAACAAAGCATATTACTTTCATTAAAAGGAAGGTCTTAATGTGTTAATTCCTGATGATGTAACACTTCAGTTTAGGGGTGGGTGTTAGCACCAATTACTAGTACTTTTTAAAAATATTTTTATGAAGATAAGCATGATTACAATTATATATCAACAGGGTTGCATTCCCACATTTCTAGAATCATCTGTCAGGGACAGCAAGGAATCATAATTCATTTATGATTCTTTTTCTATTTTCTAAATTAATCTGAAAAGTTGGGCTGTGGGGAAGAGAGACTGGAGGGGGGATCCATAGGGCTTCAGAAAACCCTAGTTAGCTCAGTTGCTGAGCTGTGAATTTATAAAGAGTGGTGGAATGATCTGATTCATCTCTATTAAGTGGGAGCAAAATTTCTTAGAACCCAAGCTTTGATCAAATTGACTCACAAAAGGTGTGCCAGCTATATAAATCACTGGCTAGGACAATGAGCAAAACAGCCAAGATTTTTCCCTCCCAGAATGTTGCCCCCCACCCCAAAGAAGGCAGAGGAACATTAGAAAAGTCCTGATCCATCAAGACAATGGCCCATCTTATCCAGTATTTTCTGGACCAAGAAGTGCCCATAAGATGACATGGATGAGGAAGTGTTAACTATCCAGTCTTCCACTGATGGTTTTCTAAGCAGACCACTTGTGATTCCAGAGTCAGCAGAAAGCCAACATGCCTAGCAGAAACTGACAGCCTGATCTTCCATACATCTGTCCAGTCAACCTTCTCAAACAATCTGACATGAGCAACATCATCCCATCCAGTGGCAGCAGAGAAAACCTTCTTTCTGTCAGGGTTTTCCAAGCTGTGCTGAATTTATACATAGCTCTACCATGTCTCCCCTAAAGCCCCAAACCTTGCAGTCTTTCCAACTGTGTCTTTCTATGTGTGAGACAGATCTAGCCCCTAGGTTGTTGTCTTTCATACCTGGGGCAAACCTTCCATGCTCTACCCTGTAAAAGTAACTTCATAGCATCGCCCAGCCATTGCTGAAGTGATGCAAAGTCTGTTCTCATTGCTGTGCTTTTGACACACAACAATGGCTGGCTGGATGACCCCTGAAGACACTGTAAGTCACTTGCTGGGAAATGATCACAGTCTCAGTGCGGTGCAGTGGATAGCACAGGAAGATGTGAGATAAAAAGGATCCTGGCATATTATGTTCACCTCCATAGGCTCAAGGATGAGGCAGAACACAGTTTGCAACCTTATCATCAACAGTTCAAAGAACAAGAAAAAAATGTCATCTTCTTTAAAGTAACAAGAGCGACCAAAACTACAGGACTTCCTTTAAATAAAAATCTAGTCTAAATCAGACCAAACAGCAGCACTTCTAAAAGACAGGAGTTACTTCATATTCTCATTATCTTAAAGAGGTGGGGGGGGGAGGACCTGAGCGGAAAACCCAGGAAAGATGAGACGAACTTTCCCCAGCCTGGCGCCCCTCAAGCGGGCTGGACTGCCACTTCATCGATCCCCCGCCCCGCCGGCAGCAGCGTGCTGAACAGGATGAGGTCGGGATCCACCCACGGGATGGTCTGTTCTGCCCCCATCCCCACCCGGGGCCACCGCCGCCGTTTGCGCGTGAGAGTGCGCGCGCGAGTGTCGCAGCTGCAATAACAGCAGCTCGGGACACGCGTGTCCCCTCCGCTGCCCTCCTCACAGCAAGAAAGTCTCTGCACCCTGGAACTTAACTTCGCCCGTTCTTTGCCTGTCCTCATTTCTGTTTGCGATGTCGCAACCGGCTGTCACTTCTTTCCTCCTCCCCTCCAGGAGCGCCCGGCGAGAAGGACGCCCTGCCGGCTAGCCCTCTTCGGCGCCCCTCTCTCCGCCCGGGCAAAGCTGCCCAGCCCAGCCCACCCCAGCCCAGCCCACC